CCCGCGGCCTTGGTTGCTGTCACGTTCATCCCCCCGGATGCTGGTTATACCCACACGGGCAGTTTGTGAAAACCCACGCGCACTGGTCTCTTTGTATGTTATTCTCCCATCGATTTTTAAAAATCAATGAGCTAAGCCCTCAAAATGAAGTCTTGGGAGGTAGCTGCTGCTGTTCCCATTGCACAGGAGGGCCTCGGAGACGCCAGGGGGGCTGAGCACTCTGCCCTCCCTTTCCTGCGAGCTGCGAGGCGGGGCTGGAGCGCACCTTGGATAGGGCCACGTGCGGGAACTTGTCCATCTCCAGCCTGGTTTCCTCCCCGGTGTTGTGGTGCAGCTGGCCCTTGAGGATGCGGGCAGCTGTCACCGTGGAGACGCCCATCCCTGTGGAGGGAAAAGAGGACCTCAGCCTCTCCAGCCAGTCTTCTCGGGCACCCATAGCTCTCTAGCTTGGTGCCAACTCAGGCTGGGCACCGGGCACCAGAGTATGGCTCTGGAAATGTGACCGGGCATCCCTCCCCTCCCCAGACCCTCAGGGAACTGCCTGGTACAGCCGATCTCATGGGTCCACGGCCTGGCCCCATCCTCTTAAAATGTTCCCAGGGCTCCAGCCTCTTCAACCCAGTCCCCTTCACCTCTGCCTGGCTCTGTGGTCCCCACCCTAGGTGCCCTATCCAGCCCCTCCCTCGGGCCTTAGGCCTCACCGTCTCCCAGGAACATGATGGTATTCTTAGCCACGTTGGTATTGAGATTCTGAAGGCTCAGGGCGTTTTTCAGGGTCTGCTGAGCTTGGTCTCTCCAGTACTTGGGGTCTTTCTCTTTCTCTGTGCAGACAGCGAAGTAGAGTTATTTGCAGGGGGTAGGACTAGCTTCTCATCCCCAGACTTACAGGTACCTCAACTTCTCATGCCTGAGGGCAGGATGCCAGGGCTTGGGGAGGGAGCAGTAGTTGCCCATCTGACAGTCATTGTGTGGTTTGTAAACCTATTCCTGTCTAACCCTCCAAACAGGCCTATGGACCCTGGGTCTTCTCCCCACATCTCAGAATGAAGAAACCAAGGCTCAGAGACACCAAGTGACTAGCCCAAGGCTGCACAGCACTGGCAGGGCTGAGTTCCACTCTAAAGCTCAGGCTCTTTCCTTCCAGCCAGTAGAGCAGTGGTTCTCAACCTTGGCTGCACGTTACAATCACCTGGGAATCTTTTTAAAATCCTGATTTCGGGGCCTCATCCTCCGGAAATTCTGTTTCTTTCTTATGGGGTGAGGCCATAACATTCGTAACAAAGAAACAGAATTTCTGGAGGATGAGGCCCCGAAATCAGGATTTTAAAAAGATTCCCAGGTGATTCTAACGTGCAGCCAAGGTTGAGAACCACTGCAGTAGAGGGACATTTCTGCTAAGGCAGCAAATGAATTGGGCTGGCACGAGATTAGGAAGGTAATGTTTAAGCCGTTCAAGAGAACAAACTACTTACAACTGCGGGAGTCCCCGGACGTCTCAGTCATCAATTATAAACTCTGCGTGGCTTACTGATTAAAGCAGGTTCA